TTCCGTCGCTCCGTTAGGAGGCTGCGCTATTCTTGAGTGAGATTTTCTGAGTTGGATCTGGGAATTGAAAGTTTCAATTTGTCAACTGGAAATTTTCAAACCGTAAGAAACCGCCTATGCTGGTTCCTTATACACCTGGACGGATTTCTTTCCAAAAAAGTTTCCCTCTCCAGGATCGGCAAAATTCCGACTGGAAAAAAGTCTAGCCGATCCAACACTGATGCGGCTTTTCAGGCGGATTCTAGGGGGTTGTTGTTGTTGTTGTTGTTGTTGTTGTTGTTGTTGTTGTTGTTTTCTTCACATTAAAAACCGTTCCGATCTCTCTCCACCCAGTACCTTCGTATGTCCGTACTGATTCAACACTCGACGCGGTCGATTCCCGTGGTCGCAGGCTAACTTACCCTTCAAAGGTACACTCATATAAAATGACACCGAGGGGTCCGCAAGTCAATAGAAATCAACGACAGATATTCTGGAGTCCTCCACTCCCTCTGCGCGCTATTCGAGGTAACAACTGAGACTAGGAGTCATCATTACGGGCCGGAGAGAATGACATACATGCGTGTTAATGATACCACTGCATAATGCGTCGGAGGAACCGGCAGTCAACAAGATATACAGTGGAGGAGGTCTGTCAAAAGTAGTGGCGGTCAGAACTTACAACAATGCTTGCTGTATGGTCTTGAGCAGCAGTACTACGCAGCAGTTGTACAGTAGTTTCCTACACAGCACGATCTGACCGATGACACGATGGTCGTTATGTTGACATCGAGGCACATGTCCTACAGGTTCAAACCTCAAACCCGATCTTCCACACTTTTTGACAAATGTGGACCACTCCCATGGAAGAAAAAAAATAGCTCCACGGAAGTTGGATCTACTTTCATAGAAGCTGACACCAGTTCCATGGAAGCTACACGGAAGCACGAAACGACCCTTTGAAGCTACAGATATGAAGTATGGATGTGCCGCTTCCATGAACTTCCACGGAAGTCTCATGGAAACCCCATGGAAGTGTAATAGCTCCCATACAAGTCAAACCTTAAGCCTCCTTGAAAGCTTTTTCCAAAGAGGTTTAGGGCAGCTTCCACGGTCTTATCGGGATTAGGGTTAGGATAGGGAAAATGGAACTGCTGTATGTCCAAACGTTTCCGCGGTGCTGCCGTGGGTTAGGGTAGGGAAGCTGGAATGACCACACGTCCAGACGCTTCCTTCGATGGAAGTTGCTTTCATGGAATTTTGGGTGCTTGGAAGTCGGTTTCGACCTCTGTCACCCACTTGCATGGAAGTTGCTTTTATGAGAATTTTCGTGCTTCGATGGAAGTAGGAGAGACTCTGTCAAGCGACGAGCTTCCATGATTGTTGTACTTTCGTGGAAGCTCGTCGCGCTTCCGTGAAAATTCGAAATGCAACTTTCGTGGAAGTTGCTTACCGCTTCCATCGAAGCATCACGGAAGCTGCAACCCGAAGCAGACGAAAATACTCAATGGAAGTCCATGGAGGTAACAGTTTCATGGAAGAGGTAACCACTTTCATGGAAGCAGTGAACCAAATCGATAATTCGGGTGGCTCAGTTCTGTGTGTTGGGAGTGTAGAGCAGCTGGGCCGTGACGGGCCGTGGTATGGGAGGAACGTAAAGGAAACGTGTTGTATTCTTCGGGGGCGTGCTAGTGCTCGTAAATCTGTCACGGCATCAAGCACGCTTTACGCCCATCACGCTCAAACTACCTAACGGATCTCTCTGATTCCTCCGCATCTCATCACTGCAATTTCCGTACGTACGTACTGAAGATCTTACCCGTCATACTACGCTACGAGTACCCCCAACATCTAATAGCCCCCCTTGTCGTATGCATCGTCATGCTTCGGCAATCACCAAGTTCCTCTTTTACCATCTCTTCAAAACAAACAAGAAAAATGACAATGCATCCACATCCAATATCTTTCCCCAAACATGCAAGAACTCTCCCATGTCAATCACAAGATGAATTCCAACACAATCAAAACTCCTCGAAAACAAACAATAAAAATCCCAACACAACAAAAACTCCTCCAAAACAAACAAGAAAATCTTAAACACACCTCCAACACCCTTACCTCCTTCATCAGACTAACTTTCTCTTGTCCACTCTCGTCTCCTTTTTTCTCTCTCCGCTACAAAATACGAAACGACCCCAAAAACACTTCCTTCACTGCAAGTTGATCACAAATTCACGGTGCAACGCAAAAGACTCCTTGCTAATAGCCTTCGTCGGCACATGAGTAATTGAAATCTCTTTCCTGTCTACCAGCTCCCTGATAAAGTGATGCCGTAAACCGATGTGGTTCGAGTTGGAGTTCGTGATCGGGTTGTGCGCAATCTGAAGTGCTCCCTGATTATCCTCGAACGCCGGGATGCACGGCATACTCGCATCTGGCAACATAAAACGCCACACCTGCCTCAAGAACAACACTTTATTCAAGACGTCAGCAATTGCCACATACTCTACTTCCGTGGTGGAAAGCGTAACGCACTTCTGCGTCCTCGAAAACCAAGTCACACACCCTTCCCCACCATTACTAGCCCTCCTGACACCGATCTACGGTCTGTCGCTTTGCTTGCATAGTCGGCATCCACAAACACCTGCATGCTCATACCTGTCACGACGCCCCTCTCAAATGTAATCCCCATCCAACTCGTCCTGCGTACGTATTATAAAATACCGAGTGCTGCCTTCCAGTGCACCATCTTGGGAGACGCGCTATAACGCGCTACTGCTCGAACTGCATTGGCAATGTCCGGCCGTGTTTGAGTGGCCAACCACATCAGAGATCCTACCAACTCGCGAAAAGGGACATCAGCACTTGCTTCATTCACGTCAAGGTCGGAGAGCTTAACGCCAACAGACAGAGGCACGCTCTGCCCCCACTCAACGCCATACTCTGCAACCAGCTCGTCGGCAAACCTCTGCTGCGAAATTTTCGACAGCCCTCTCTCTACGTTTCTCTAGTAAAAGCACGCGGAGTACCACCTCAACTCTCCAAGGTTCTTCACGGGGACCATCTCGTTGATATCCCTGCCACACTTGTCACACCGCTCCTTCTGCCCTGCAGCAACAACGTCATCCACGTGGATCATGATCACATGTCCCTCCTCCATCAATCGAAAAACACATGCACCCGCCAGACACTGCAAAAAAACGAATAGTGATAAACACCTCGTCAGGTGCGCATGGCAAAGTCGTGATGCCTGCTTCAAACCATACAGACTCTTCCACAGCTTCACTATCAGGCCAGATAACCTACCACACCCCTGCGGTAAGCGCATGAAAACATCCTCGTCAAGCTCAGACTGCACAAAAGCCTGCTGAATATCGATATGGCACAAGTCAAGATTCTGCTCGCATGCTAATGCTGCCAACAAGCGCACACTGGACACGGTGGGTGCAAATAATTCTCCAAAATCAATCGAAGCCTCTGCATGTCCCCCCCCGGTAAAAGTCTTGCCTTGAATTTCGTCGGCCATCCGTACTCGTTTGCCTTTGCAGTTAAAGAACCACTTGGCATTGATCGCGTTCTCTACTGGTTGCTACACGGACTAAAAGTTCCTGCATCCAACAAACCGAATAACCCTCGACCGAGTGCATCATCCCACGACTCTGAATGTTGAGACCGCATGGCCTCCTTCAACGTTTTCGGCACTTGGAGGTCGCTGGCGAGGCAGTGAGGAAGGTCTGGCATCTTGTCGGGCGGGCGCTCGGCGCGAAGAGCGGCGTTCACATCCTCGCGGTGGCGAACATCGTTACGAACGTCTGCGGTCTTCCACCCCCCCCCCGGAATCCACGGGGCCCCCAGCTCCCACGGCCCCCCTGCTTCCACGGTCTCCAAGACTTGGATCCGGCTGCGGCGGGGTCGGTATGTCGCGGCGTCCTATCCACGGCCTCCCGGGTGCCGAGCGACGGGATGAGGAAGTCCTTGTCCATCATCGCTAACAGACCAAGACGGTGGTGGAGAGCGGCGCCGCCACCGGTTGGCGACAGCGGTTGTTGTTGCTCATCAACGAACCGCACTCCATTTCCGCGCGTGCGACCGTGTACCCTCGTGTGCTTTCGTCCCAACTCCTTCACGGCTCGTTTCGAAAGCGGCGGGTGCGGAGGAGCGGGGGTGGCGGCACTGGTGGGCTGCGGCGGCGGAGGCGGCAGGCTCGGGGGCGAATGGGGCGGCGTTGTTGCGGTCGACGGTGGGGCTGATGATGGGGCGACGGAAATTGGCGACGGGGCTAAGGATCCTGTGAAGATCGGCGGGGAAGCGGGCGGCGGCGGTGCGGTGGTCGCTGGTGCAGGCGGGACGTAGGTGTACCTCCTTGATGGCGGCGGCGGTGCGGCCTCGGCCGCAGGTACGGCGGTGGCCGGCGAGGGCGCCGCGGCGACCGAAGAACCCCTCCCGATGCCCGGTACCGGCGCCGGCGCCCCGGCCCTGCGGTTGATCCACATGACGTTGTAGGTGAGGGCGAGGCGACCTGTGTCAGCGTGAAAAACGACGGCGGTAGACGTCGAGTGGTTGTTGACGCCGTGCAGGTAGAAGCACCGTGGAGTGCCCATGCCGTTCATGTTGGCGAGGAGCCACGAACTTCAAGGTGTCGCTCTTTGCCCGCACCCAGTACCCCCCTTTCCACCGCAATGCGCTGTCCACGAACATGATCAGTTACCGGGAGCCGTCCAGCGCGTCAGAGAATGGGCCCGTGAGGTCGATGTGGACTTTGCCGAACGGTACCGTCGCGCGGGTGCCACGCCGCGGCACCGGTTCCCACCGGCCGTTCGCCTCCACGCAGCCCACACATGGCTGCATCTCCCCCACCAGTCGTACGCCCTGCTGCTTGGCCGTTTCACTCAATAAAAATTCGTTTACATGGCCGGTGGAGGCACGGAACAAATGAATGTCAATGGTCGGCGTGGATTTTCCTACCGACAACGGGGAAGCCCCGGGGGCGATAATTGCCAAGGCATGCGAGAGGGAGGGGGGAGCTACGGTTTGCTGCTCACTGCATCCAGCAACGAAACCCTTCAGGCAATCCAATTCATCACTCATCACGGCAAACGCGGGGGGAGGGGGTGTTGCAGAGTCGCAAACATCAAGCGCATCCGGAAAAAATCACCCCGTGGGACCGAGTCTATTCCATCCATCAGGCCTACATCAAGGAACATGCTCATTACCCTGAAAGGAAAATGGTCCTGGGGGATGAGGGGGTTGATCACAACTTCACGAAAATCGCTCGGGTCAACGACGGAGGGAGAAGCAATCCCAGACGACTTCACGGCAGCTGTGATTACAGGCTGGTAGTCGGCAATAATCGTTGGCACTACATCTACGTCGATGGGTGGGAATGCACAACGCGGGATCACTAAACCGGATGGTACGCTCGAAGTCGCACTCGCAGACGAAGGTACAACACCGGCAGCGAATCCACCGGCGGACTGGAAGCTTGGACTCGCACTGGCACACGGAGGTACAACACCGGCAGCGGCACCACCGACGCACTGGAAGCTCGGATTCGCACTCGAACTCGAAGGTACAACACCGGCAGCGACTCCACCGGTGGACGGGAAGCTCGTACTCGCACGTGTGTCCGCTCCTGTGTTTGGGGGGAAAGGGGGGTTTGCGACAACAAGGCCTGTCCCAACGCTAGGCGGGGGGGCTCCGGGAGACACACGAGGGAGGGCATCCGGACCGAGGGTTACAGCACTACCGGTATACGTGGGAGGCAAGCGAGTGGCTCAAAGAGAAATCCTACATCGGAGAAAGCAAAGGAAAGCTTGCCATTAAAGAGATGCACGTCATTTTATCCAACGTAATTCTCTGCCTACGCTGCGTATGGTGCAGAGAAAACAGATTGAACGTGATGCCGGGGACTACGTACACGTCCGACATCTGCACGCAAAAATCGGTCTCGCCCGAAGGGCCAGGCATGTGAAATGCCATGTTGATGCCTTCAACACATTGCACGCGCAGATGGGCACCATTCCCTACTTGGATGAACTGTTTTCCTGCTGGGATCGGCTTCATGTCGAACATATTTTCTCTACTGCTGACAACCGTGTTGCTTGCGCCGCTGTCGGCCCAAAATTGCTCGCTACCAATTTGCGAAGGGCGACTCTGAACAGATAAAGCAAAACCACTACTATTCTAACTTGCTACCACACTTAGAAAGATCTCGCCTTGTGACACAAAACGTGTCTTGAGGAAGCGAAGATGCCCAGAGGATCCGGCTGCGTCGGGAGGAGGCGAATGGTACGGGGCATGGGTCGAGTGCTGCTGC